TGAAGTCCCAATGTACGGGAGGGCGTGGTTTCTTTCGTGGACACGGGCGAGCAAGAAATCAAAGCTGGGGACGAGGAAGGGGTGGCCAACCACCTACAGAAAATAAAGAGCGGCGTGAAGATGAGAAATTACGATCTTTCACCCAACGAGGAAGAGGGCGTGGTAACTATAAAGGTACAAAACCTTATGTAGAGTGCTATTATTGTCACAAACCTGGACATAAAATTTCTGATTGTTGGGAAAAATATCCAGAAAAGTGGCGTGAAAATGGTTTTGTGCATGAGAAATGAGTCGAAAATACAGAAACATTGTTGATTGCTTCAAATGGAAATATTGAGGATATTTGGTATTTGGACAGCGGGGTAAGCAAACACATGGCTGGAAATAAAAATCTGTTTCCCACTCTTGTCGAAGCTAATCATGGCAGGTTACTATTGGAGATGCCAAGGCATATAAGATCGAAGGCGTTGGAGAAATCTCATTCAAGGCGAAAAATGGGAGACTTGAGAAAATGTCTGAGGAATTTTATGTTCCTGGATTACAAAGCAATTTGTTAAGTGTTGGCCACTTAATGAAAAAGGGGATTGATATTCATTTTGTTGACAACTTTTGCACTATGGAGAAGAAAAATCATATCATAGCAAAAATTGGTTTGGGAGCAAACAATTTGTTTGCTTTGAAGCTTGATATCTTAAATAATGCTGGAAATCTTGCTGTTAATGAGCAAATCTCCAAGCTGTGGCATGACAGGTTTGGGCACCTTAATTTTGGGAGCTTGCAGGAGTTGTCGAATAAATCGATTGTATATGGACTGCCCAAAATTGGAGGAGAACAAGAAGTTTGTGAAGAGTGCCAATTGGGAAAGCAACATCGAGAGTCTTTCCCATAAAAATCTGATTGGAAATCAAAAATGCCTTTGGAACTGGTTCACACAGATTTATGCGGGCCAATTAAAGTTCCATCGCTTGGAGGTAACCGATATTTCTTGTTGTTTATTGATGACTTCACAAGGAAAGTTTGGGTTTATTTGGTGAAAGAAAAATCTGATGCACTTCCTTGTTTCAAAGAATTTAAAGCTCAGGTTGAGAAATTTACTAGTTCTCACATTAAAATCCTGCGAAGTGATCGTGGAGGGGAATACATGTCCTCAATGTTTGAGGAATTCTGTCGGAACCATGGGATTCGACATGAATTGACAGCCCGATATTCACCACAACAAAATGGCATTGCCGAACAAAAAAATAGAACCATCATGGATATGGTTCGAAGCATGCTGAAAAGGAAAAATATGCCAGCTGAATTTTGGGAGAGGCAGTCTCATGTGCTGTCTATTTGTTCAATCGATCGCAGACAAAGAGTTTGGAGAATTATACTCCGAATGAGGTGTGGTATGGGAAGAAACCGAATGTTAGCCACTTGAAAACATTTGGTAGCGTTGCCTATGCACACATCCCAAATTCTTTGAGGAGTAAGCTTGATGATAAATCTGAAAAATGCATATTCATTGGGTATAGTGTGAGAACAAAAGCTTACAAATTGTATAACCCAAAATCAAAGAAAATTGTGATCAGCAGGGATGTACGATTTGATGAGAATGCTTCCTAAGATTTTTCAGATTTATCATCAGAATTCTCACATTGGCAGGTTCTTAATTTTGAAGATGTTGATACTCAACAAATGCAGCAAAACATTGGTGAAGAAGAACCTGCTGAAAATTCTGCAGCTCCAACGGGGAGAAGAACAAGGACTTTGAGAGAACTTTACGATGAAACTGAAGCGATTGATGGGCCAAACCAAGTGTTTTTGCTTTCTTTGTAGGGGTAGATCCAATCTCGTATGAAGAAGCAGTGAAGGAGAAGAAATGGGTGCAAGCCATGAAAGAGGAGATTAATTCCATCGAGAAGAATGGCACTTGGGAGCTTACAAATTTGCCTCCACATAAATCTCCAATTGGTGTAAAATGGGTGTTCAAGACAAAAACAAATCTTGATGGATCAGTCAACAAATATAAGGCAAGATTGGTTGTGAAGGGCTACAAGTAAAAAGAAGGAGAAGACTTTAATGAGGTATTTGCTCCCGTTTCCAAGCTTGATACGATTCGATTGATTCTTTCACTTGCAGCTCAAAATGGTTGGAAATGATTCCAAATGGATGTGAAATCCGCATTCTTGAATGTATTTATTCAAGAAGAAATTTACTTGGAGCAACCTCCTAGATTTGTTCGAAAAGACAAGGAACGCAAAGTTTATAAACTCATAAAAGCTCTTTATTGGTTGAAGCAGTCGCCTCGAGCATGGTACGGAAGGATTAATGAATTTTTCTTGAAGTTTGGCTTTGAGAGATGCCCACTCGAGCATACTCTCTATGTCAAAAAATGTTGCAATGGCGGTGTTATGATTGTGAGCCTTTATGTTGACGATCTTATCTTCACTGGAAATGATTTGAAGACGCTTGAGAATTTTAAAGCGGCTATAATGAAGGAATTTGAGATGAGTGATTTGGGAGAATTGCATCATTTTCTTGGGATCAATGTTGAATAATCAAAATCTGGAATTTTCATTTCTCATGAAAAATATGCAGTTGAGGTTCTAAGAAAATTCAATATGGAGCATGTCAATCCAGTAACAACCCCTTGCGTAACAAGTTTGAAGTTGAGCAAAAATGGAGAAGGGAAGATGGTTGACACAACAATGTTTCACAGCCTAATCGGAAACTTGATGTACCTTACAGCCACTCGGCCTGACATCATGTTCGTTGTGAGCTTGGTTAGCAGATTCATGGAGAAGCCATTCTCGAATCATTGGGAGGCTGCCAAAAGAATTTTAAGGTACGTGAAAGGGACATTGGATTATGGCATATATTATGAAGCTAACGTTCCCATCAAACTTGTTGGCTATACGGATAGTGACTTGAGAGGAAGCTGTGATGATTATCGAAGTACATCTGGCTATGTGTTTAATCTTGGAGGTGGAGTTGTTTCATGGAGTTCGAAAAAACAACCAATTGTGGCACTTTCCACCACCGAATCGGAGTACATAGCGGCATCTTTGGCTGGGAGTCAAATTGTGTGGCTTAGAGGAATCCTTGAGAGTTTGAGCGTCAAGGAGCATGCTCCTACGACATTGTTCTGTGACAATAAATCGACTATCTCTGTTTCCAAAGATCCGGTCTTTCATGGAAGATCAAAACACATCCGTCTTCACTTTCACTTCTTAAGGGATCTTGTTAATGAAGGTGACATTGACATTACATATTGCCCAAGTGAAGAGCAGTTGGCTGATATCTTCACAAAACCGTTTGGTGGACCCGCTTTCTCAAGAAATGTTGCTGCTTTGAGAGTCAAGAGCAAATTCAATTTACGGGAGGCATTTGATGGAAAATTAAATTGAATTTTAATTAAATGCTAATTGAATTGGTTAATTAAATATTATTAATGAATAATTTGAATTTGAATTTTGAGTTAGAAGTTAACGAGGGTAATGAATATATTTATGGTAGTAGTTTGAATTGTTTATATATATATATATATGATGTGTAAGTAAATCGATATATATATATTTTTTGAGTGAATATTTCTTGATTATCCCAATATATTTTATTATTCTCCTTTTATTTTATATAATTTGCCTTCAAGTTCACCAAAATCAGTTGTGGGCTCTGCTTTAGCAGCTTAGGAGGAGGTACCGGAAGGGGAAGCCGAGCAGGAGGAAGGTGGTGGCGTCGCGGTTGCGGTTCCTCTTAAGCCTAAGAAAGGGAAGGCGGCGTTGCCTTTGAAGAGGAACATAGTATATGTGGTAGGAGAATTTATCTTTTATTGTTTCCTTTTTGTTTCCGAAGCCTACTTTATGTTTTTGAATGCATTTTTTGTTTGAAATATATATTTTTTCTGTAGACACAAATTGTGCGATGGTAATTTGTGTTTTCTGTTGATTTGGTTGTGTCTGAAGTTTGATTTGTGTCCTCGATCGACTGCATTTTTGTTTGAAATTTCATTATTTTGTAGACACTAAAAATTGTGTGATGATAATGTGTGCTTTTTGCATCTGAATGCCATTTCGGAGGAATTTGTTCGATTCAAGCCTTACCTAATGCAAAAGATTTGTGATGGAGCTCAAGCTTGCTTTCATAACCGATGAATGTCCGAACAATGATATCAACATCTCGGTCTACAAATTCAAGTGCTTAGAATGTGGAAATGTAATAAAAGATGTCGAACAACAGTACAAATATACTGAGGTTTGTTTGAATTTTCATGTCTCCTTTAAGGCAAACTAAACTCCACTCGACGCCTCTAGATACTTTGAATTTGTCCTTCAATTGTAATGATAATGTTCAAGTGTATGAGAATTGCTGCTAGTTCATATATCAGTTCTAGAAAGGTGATCTTGATCCTGTTGAATTAATTCATATTGTGGTGTTCTATTTTGTTTTGACAGATTGACAAAGGGTTCTGTATGCACGAGATATCCAAAGAAACAAAATATCTCCAGACATATCAAAAGTTATTTAAATCAAAATCTTTACTTATCCTAAACTCTAAACCTAAATTCAACACTTAAAACAAAGGTACTCTTCCATATATTCTTTTTTTATATAATCTAAAACAGTTACTCTCTTACAATTTAATATATTTATTTCCTATATATTTATAAACACATTTTATATATATATATTTATTTTAATTACTGTTTTGTGTATTGTTAATTTTATAAATACTCTTATATTCATTATATATACTTCAATTATTTATATTTAATATCTTTTATTTGTATTTGTTTTTTATTTAAAAAACAAAGAAGCTGTGATTCACTCTACACTTCTTCGTAATAATGAAATATAGTGACTCTCACAATAATATCAAATACTATTTAAATCAAAATTTAAATTTAAAAAAAAAATGTTCTTAATAAATTTATTAGAATAATACACTCAAACATATTAAAACATTTTGCTACAGCCATCTAATAATTACATAAAATCTAAATAGACATTATAAACATAAAAACCAATTAATAAGAAAGCAATAAAAGGTATCATTCATATCAAGAAAGAGTTGACTCAACTATATACAGATGTATTCATCCCCACATTAAAGCCGACAAATGTTCACTAAGATGAATGAAAAATATGCTGATCTTATGATTTTATTAGCTAGGAAAACTGCACTCTCCATTTCGGTCTTTGTTGCAAGTACTCTTGCCATGCCGGTAGAAACATACATTTTGGTGCGTCCTTTCTTCGTTGGTGAACTAGGAATTGATGCATATGATTGTTGTGGGGGCTAATTCTTCTTCTGTTGCTGCGCCATAGTTTTCACTTAAATGAGGTTCTGCCTCCACCACTGTATCTCTATGGTGACTTTCTGGCCTATGATTTGTTACTTGGTTATTTTCTTTTTTCTCATTATTCTCCACACGAGGAATTGCAGATTAGAATCAGGTTGGGGAGGATCGACCACATCAGCAGATTCTAGAAGCAAATGAATATTATAAATAAGTCTCATCGGCAATATAAGATGTTAAAAAAATAAACAAATCCAATTTGCACAAAGGCACATGAATCATTTTTCTCATGGGAATATATTTGAATTTAGAAACAATTCAAATATGTCATTAATAGCAAATTACCTTTAACTTGCATGTGTCGATCAATCCGAAGATCAATATATATGCCCTCTTGCGTAATTGTTGTACTCTGCATCGGAAAACCCCATTACCATCTGGTGCAAACACATAAAGATAAATTAGTAACAATATCCAAGAATAACACATACACAAAAGCACAGTTTACGGCAATAAATAAATCACAGGCCCTACATTGCCCGATTGTGTTTGCCATCTTGCTCTTTGCTGAATAGCCGAGAGACATGCATTGGCGCATCTTATCGGGAGTCATTCCACAACCATTATCTACGTATATACGCAAAATAAGATCGAATTAGAGCCACAAGTGCTACGGAGAAACTTAAATTGTGTATTGTTACACAACTAGATCAAACATAACAAGGAACAAAATCATTAAGACTACTCTAAGGTTCTACTCAAGACATGCAAAATTTTTAACCAAAACATATTCTCTGTTCATCAAGCAAATTTTTTTTCAAATTCTTTAGTATGCAATCCCGAACTCCCCAAGAAAAAATACACTATCCCCCCTAACAATCCTCACATCAAGCTACTATGCAGACACAAAATTTAAACACATATACATCATATATACACACACCTTCAACTGCCGCCATTTTGCTATTAGTACTGTTCTCAAGCACATCGATGCTCACGTACCGCTTTTTGGGAGTTATAAGGGCGTCAAAGGTACCTCATCTAAAGCATTATCGAGAAGTTGTGACTGAGATTGGGGTGCGGTCGGGAGCTCCAGCAGCTGCGCAGGGTTCATCGCTGACGTCAAGAAGGCTAGAATGTCAGGCACTGATTCGATGTTCACCCAGCTGTTGTCTATCCAAACTTTGGAAATCTTGACGTCTTTCCTCTCTACCAACAAATTTTTTTTCTCACCTGTGGAGAAGTTAGATTCATGAATCAGTTGATAAGAATTAGCGGGTCGAAAAGGCCAACTTATTGAATGTGTTGGACTAATTTACAGGTGAAGTAGAGTTGAAGTTTATCGCATCCAATCAGGATGCCTTCCCAATGAAATCCAAAATCAATACCTATCTAGCCACCGGTGCATATTCTTCTGGTCTGAATTGTGGTACAAAGATCTCATTTCTCATTTTACCTTTGTCTCATCTCTCATATCTCCAACTGGAGCAATCAAAAACAAATAAACTAAAATCAAACAAGCAAATTAATTAGAAATAAAAAATTTAAAAAAAAAAAACTCAAAATCAACCAAAGTAATCTCTTCAACGCAAACCCGAAAAAACCCTTTATCACATCGTAAACCTTAATCTGAACATGAACAATACGGCCGCCTGTGAAAAGATACAATAACTCTAATCTCACAAGAGAAGATTTATATAGTATTCAGTGAAACATTCTAGAAGGTTCAATTTATTTTTATTTAATTAATTATTTTTTTATTTTATTCTAGGGTTTTTTACAATATTTTAAGTAGAATTTTTTGGTGTGCCGTTGTACCCACTTTTTTTCCTTGTGCTCACCTATTTTTATAGTAGGAGATGGTTCTAGAAGGTTGTATATGTATATATTATTTATTTATATTTTAAAATTATTCTAGACATTTTTACAATTTATATTATCTGAATTAGTTAATCTTTTACAATTGAATGCATATACTATATATTAATAAATACATTTCTTTATGTATTTTATTAATTAATTTATTAAGTTTATTTTGCATATTTTAAATTTTATAAAGATTTTTTATATTTATTTTATATATAATACTTTATTTTTGTATAATTAATATATTTTTGTGTCTGTTTTTTATATTAAATAAAAAATTTATGATTCAACGCTAATGTTCATAATAAAAAAAATTATATTAATTACTCTTATAAAATATCACACCAAATATAATTTAAATCAAAATTCAAATAAAAAAAAAAACTCGATCTCGATAATTCTATCACAATCACATGAATAGTACTATAGTTGGATCAAATTGCATTTACAAACATAACAAACATATTTTGTCATAGTCTTCTTCCTATATCCACAAAAAGTAGCATTTGCAAAATTGAGTCATAACTACATAAAATCTAAGGATTTGTTCTTCCAAAAAAAAATTTTCAAACATGATTCTCAATATGTAAAATATATATATTTTATATTTTCACAAAACATCAACGTTCAACATATAATATTATTTTTATATTACTTATACAATTTTCTATATCTCACTTAAAAATAATATTTCAAATCAAAACACAAAACAAACAAAACCTAAGTATACACTATAAGTATAATAAACCAATTAAATAAAAAAGTAGTATTATGCAGACCAAAAAAATGACTCAAAATTATGTGCAGTAGCAGAGAGCATACAATAATACCACCATAAATGTAAAGAGAAAAGAGCGAAAAAGAATTTTAAATCAAAGGTTTTTGAGAAATGATAAGTTGTTTTACTGCTTCTCATTGAAATTAAACAAGTTTTCAGAGAAAAAAAAAATGCCAGAAATATTTGCACCTATTCTCAATTATTGCCTTTAACATTTGTTCGACTTATCAATTCACTTATTTTTATAGAGTTACGATGATGGTTCTTGAACATTGAATACATATGATTTTTATTTATTTATTTATATTTTCAATTTATTCTGGATGGTCATTTTTTCAAAATAGATCGAGGGTGTTTGCAAAACAGTTTTTCAAATAGCTTTTACTAATTTGAAGAACTTTAGGTTGTTTAACGAGTCAAAAAAATTAATTCAACTATTTGTTAAATTAATTCAAAGATCGGGATTATGCAAAAACAAATCTAAATGATTTGTATGATCAACGGAAAAACAGACTGATACACCATGCGTATACTATTACATTCTACAAGACCAATGCATATAATCTTATAATTCTAATAGACACGACCTTTCAATAATCAGAATTACTCCCAACAGCCACATTCTTGCATTTTGTTGTAGTAAGAAATACATAATGTGGCTGCATTAGTTGCTTTCCATGTTTCACCAATTGACTATTGTTTCATATTCTTATAACAAATTCCTGTCTTTAAAAATCCCAATTTTGACAAAAAAAGCATAATGTGGATGCCTGCGTTAGCTTATTTCCATGTTTTGCTAATTGGCCTTTTAAAATTCTTATAACAAAAATCTGTTTTCAAACTGTGTTTTTGTCAATGCCATGTGCTTGCGTTATGCCATAACCAAAACATAAAAACATAATGCGGATGCATCATGCATGCATTATAAATGATTGGCTGCATTAGTTACTTTTGTAGTTATCCTAGTGTCCGCTTAATTCAATATTTTTATAGTACAATATGGCAAAAAATGCATCAGCACTGTGACTCGATGGCCCTGGTTGACGTCAACATATTGTAGTCGCTAACATTTATTATGTCTCGGATGTTGGTTAGTTAATATCATGTTTTACCACATTTGTTATTCATAATTAAAATCACAGTTGGAAATAAGTCTTTGCTTTGGTAGTGCTATGAATGATATCCAGAACGGTAATATTCCATTGAAACCTGCTAATTAGCGATATTTTGCTAAAGATATGGTTAATTTCACTAATAAAAATTCACGTCTTCGATTCTTATCATACTGTGAGGTTTTGTGTTCGACTCTAAAGTAGGTTAGAAGACAAGTGGTAATGATTTCTCTACTTCAATTCCCTGCAGTCAAGATTTCCGGTAACAGACCAAGTCAGGACGGCAAACGAGAGGCAGCCAGTATACGACAAGTCCTATGTCTGTTGCTACCAGAGGATACGGGCCCAACAGCCCCAAGATCTAAGGGAGCAGGAATAATCTCAGTATTATGTGTGTCTGCAGCGCAGCCTATGAAGCAATTTATATATAGCAATGTTAATAATTGAGCAATTCCTTAAGAAAACTCTATCTTATTTTCCAAAATCAATTTAAGCTGCTTCAAACTTTCATTGGCGTTATAACTTTTGTGCAGTCGAATCAATAACAATATGTGTTATAGTATAATAATTTTTTTTTCTTTTAATGTAATTGTTTAGAAGACAAAATACAAGTCTATAGAATATGGGATGAGATCCTCAGCCCCGTGCAATTCTGTCCTCCCCCATATCAATTAAATGGTGACAAAGTGTTATTTATTTTAATTTAACATTAAACCTTCTAATTTTTTTTTTCTTTTTCTCCGTATTTTAATTATTCTTTCTCTATTATTGTTAATATTTTTAAATTAAATATTTATTCTTAATTTATTATATTATAATTAAAAATCAATTTTACATTAAACATCTATTTATATTACATCATATCACTATTCAAATTCAAAAAAATTTCAATTTAAATCCCAAACACAAAATCCAAATCCCCAAACAAAGACAGATATTTTGAAAATGGTGTGCTGCTAATAGTGTTGTAATATAATATTATATTAACAATATATATAATACTTTTTCTTTTTATAATTTAAAGTAAAAGTATTTCATGTTAAATAAAAATTTGTAAGTTTTTTTTTTATTTTATTTTAAATACAAGTCAATATTAGATATTAGGTTAATATACTATTTTCAAACGAAAAGTAAAATGAAAAAGTTCAATTTTCAAATCAAAACCAAATAAATCGTAATATTTTTCTCTTTTATCATTCAAATTACGATGCATATATATTTTCATTTTAAAATTTTGGAAATATATATATAAATGATGTAATTAATATGTATTTAATATATTTATATACCTAGTTTAATTATACCAAAAATAACAATTTAAAATATTGTATGTATTGAGAGTTTGATTGTTTTGATTTTAAAGTGAGTTTTTATTTGAATTTTGATTTAAATAATATTTAATACTATATAATAATTTCATTAGATAAAATAATATACTTTTATTGGAATTGCGTGGATTGTGATATAGTTTTTTACTTAAATTAAAAAACAAGCACAATTGAAATATAATAATTATAAAATAATTAAAGTAATATATAATCAATATAATAAATATTTATTAAATAAAATATATAAAATACAATCAATAAAATAATTAAAAATTACATAAAGAAATCTATTTAATGATATAAATATAGTAAGTTATAGTAGAGTAACTAAATGCTTTAAATAATAATTAAAAAAATAAAATATAGTCTAGAACTTTCACGAAGCACAAAAAAGTTCACTCAAACTTGTCTAAAGATTTTAGATATATTCGGGAATTCTTCTAGAAGATTGTAGACACCATAGACTAATTGGGAACACCTAGAATAATCTAGGTTCCGGTAAAGTTTTGGTCTATGAAAGAACCTCCACCTTATAAAAAAATCTTTTTAGAAGGTTAAGGAATCTTTTTAGAAGGTTGTAGAATACAATAGACTCTTTGGCCTATAAAACAACCTCCGCCCCGTATCATCCAAGCATTTGCAAGTTTCTGCTTTTACGAGTGCTTAGGGAAGGATTTACATGAACACATCAAGACTTTGATTACGGTTTATTTTGTGGTTACAGCTTTTTGATTGGTTCCGATTCTGTTGTAGGTAGCTTCTAAGCTTGATTTATTTTGAATTTTCTCATCTTCGGATGATTTTAATTTTTCATATTTAATTAATTTGAATATGTTTGTTTGTTTTGATTGCTTCATTGGGAGGGATTAGATTAGACAAGAAAGGCGATGTGAGGTCAAGGCAGCAGATTCGGAAACAGAAGAAGAGTGAGAGGTAGGAGTTGGCATTGATACGTGACATTAGTTCATGTGTCTGATCATATATTTAATTTATTAATATCAACTTAACATGGATGACCTTGAAAAAACCATCCAATATCTTATTTGTTTCAAATGGAGACAAATCCCAATGAAGGAAAAGTACGAGGAGATCCGAGAGCACATTGTAGCATGCCCCTTCCTCTGTGAAGCCGGTTGAGAGTGGAAACCAGATATATACATAAAGCAAGATCACAGTCGGTTTTGGAAAATCGAGAAGCCCAACATTCCCGAATGCTCCCCGGTGGAAATAGGTTGGCATTCAATACTTTAGTCTTTGTGTTCAACTTGTTGGAAAATATTTTGGTGAAATCTGAGATACGGCTAAATCCGAAAATACAAAATCAATAGATGCAAAATTAAATTCGAGCCTCGCGTAGCACGCGATTTCTTTGAAGCGAATTCGGCCTTCCACTAATCGCCTCCTAGGATAGAACGAATTGTGAATGGAATAACATATTCCGCAAACCGAATTAGAATGGAAGAGAAATTTTCAGAATAAATTTTTAGAATTGATATTCCGTCTTCCATCCCAAAAAGGGAGGAAAATATAATATATATATATTATATTCCAACTTATTTTGTATTTTGTGAAGTTTCCTTTGAGGGTTGTGACCCTATGTTTGTTATGTGAAATTATGTGACGTGTCATACGAAGTAATAAGGTTGGAAACCGGGTCGAGCCGGCCCTGATTAAGGCCTAGTGGAGTTTTCTTCGTGATGTGCTCATCACTATTATTTGAGAATTAAAAGGAGATAAATGGAGGCGCTAAAAGACTCGTGTGTGTGAGTTATCCTTATGTGATGTGTCGTCTTATTCAAGCTATCTTCTTCAAATGATTTTGTGGCATTATACCGTATTAATTTATCTCCGATTAATTGCGCTTACTCAACCGTTGTGTTGACCCTCTTCTTACAACCTTTTTGTAGGTGATCATGTTTCTGTTATACCTAAATGATGCATCCACGTCATATGATCCATCCGGAGAAACTATAACTACTTTATCTTCTAAAATATTTTTGAAATCCATTATTAATGTTTAAGAACTATTTCCAACTTATGCTTTTGACTCGAACTTTATTTATTTAAATGATAAGCCAGTGCGTTTTAATTCTATATCTCTAAATAATTATTTTGTAATGGTTATTTTAGCCTTAGCGCCACAACGTAAGGCTAGTTGGTTGATGAACGAGCTTTACGGTGTTGCGTGGCGGTGACGCTCCGGTTTGAGCCGGCCGGGGTGTTACAATACGAGACCTTTAGAATAACCTGAACTTTGCAATGAGATATGGATTTTCTTGGGTATATACAATGCTACTCATCCTTGACTGCATAAACGAACAACTGACCGGTGTAGGCAGATTATCAGCATGGTGATCTCTATGTTGAATACAATGTCCACAAAAGATGAAATAACTAGAAAACAAATAATAGAGATAGTCGAATGAAAGCACAAATATAGAGCAACAACAACATCTTGCATTTGGAATTAACATTAAAAGAAGACTATAAAACTATGTCATTCAATTAACAAAACAATGGAAGATAAAACAACAATGATTGCACCGAACAACAAATTAGCGTCACAACCCCTCCAAATCAACCCTATATAAAGCCGTCACAATTCACCAATCTATCAATTAGAATTACCAAAAATGGAGGCATCGATTAAGTACCTGCTCGTCCTTTAATTCCTCGCCATCCTCGGCATCAATAGCGGTAACGGAGGCGGTGAGTGCCCTAGATCAACGGCCGACGTGGAGGCGATGAAGCTGTACCCATGTACCTCTGCCGCGCAACACAAGAACGTGGCTATTTTCCAGGACTGCTGTGCTCAAGTGGAAATCAAATCGCGCAGGTGAGGTTTGCCACTTCCGGACGTTTTTGTGCTGTCTCGAAGCTGCGATGGCAGGGGAGCTGATCGACGAGCTTCTCCAGTTTCATTTGGGGAATTGGAAATGGTTGGAACTTGGAAGTAGTTGTGTGCGTTTGAAGTGTTTGTGCGGGTGAGTAATTAATTAATAATAACATTAATAATGATTAATTAATTTTTAATTTAATTATTAATTAACTAATAATATTATTAAATTCAGAAAAATCTACAACGGATTTAATATTTGCTTTTTTTTTAGCAATTTTGCAAATGACTAAAAAATTCCTCTTAAAATTTTTGGAACTCTGCAATTGATTTAATATATTATTATTTTCGTCGTAATTTTATAAATAATTTTTTAATATCTCCAACAGAAATAGTCTGTTGTTATTTCAGTAGCAATTTTGCAATGGAATTTAATATTCCTAGTATAATTCCTAGAAGTTTTGTGACAAATTTATTCTCTTGCAATATTCGTTCACAATACGTCTCAATTGGGACTATCTTCTATTTGCTTAGCAAATTCCATTGCACTTTTACAATAGATTGTATTCCTTAATAATATTCGGTCGCAATTTATGATTTTTTTGTAGTGGCTGATTCCAACTTCCAACCTAATGTTTGCATGAAGAAGAAGATCTCAAGAACATATTTAAATTTTAGCAATACTGGAGGTTTGTTAATTATCATATTTGCTTCCGCTAATATAATAATTTTCTTACATTTTATCTGCCTTGCTTTAAATTTTCTTCTCGTAAAATTATTGATAAAAATTCGCTTTAATTTCTTATTTGGAAATACTTTGGTTTTTTATTTTCAACAATTGCTTTGCGATATTTCTTGATCAAGATCCGATCCTGCGATTTGAGAAAATTTCATTCTTTTTTAGAAAAATTGTGAATTTTATTTTGAAATTAATTTATGCAAAATATTAAATTTCTATCAAATTATTTTGTAATATCTTTTGTGCACTTGATATATATGTGTCAATTTGTATGCACAATTAATTATGAACTTTTTCGTATTGAATTATTGTGATATGATATTGGATGAATTAATAGTTATCGAAATCAAATTTATATGAATTTTCGCTATCCGCGTTAATTTTGATTGATTTATGATTGAAAGGTCAATCATATGTAAGTATGTTGCAATTCGTGTGTATTTGAAACCCGCTGTCTCATTCTTGGTCTTCTTACATGCTACAAATGATATTTTAATCATAATATGCACCGTGTTTCTTATAGAAAATAGCTAATGGGATCAGTTCAATTAAGATGCATTGAAATCAGCCATACGGCGTGTGTTGTCATCGGAAACAAACACGAATGAGTAGATACATGCATAGGCCTGAATCTGCCCTCGGATTCCGTGCGTTCTGTTTGTTTGTTATTGTAGTACGTAATTCATCAATATTCATTATTCTTTAATTGAATTTATTAAATCATATATATATATATATATATATATGCATATATTGGAAGAACAAGTCACATTGAAATAATTAAAGTCACTCTGGCATTTGTTTATTTATTGCTGATTTTTTATAAATAATTTGACCTATAGATTTATTCTGATATGTTTTAAAATGCAATTAAGTTTGTGTTTGCTTATTTATTCATATTCATTTTTTTGTTGTTGTTCCTTGAAATTTTTCATGGTTTCATTTTAATTATTGCATGGAAATTAGATTAAGTATGTCTATACACACGTGTGTATGCAATTATAAATTTATATACATGCAATTTGTTATTCATTTATTTATCATTTTTTCTAGTGAATATTTATGGAGTCGAATTTGATCATACCCAATTTATTGGTAACTTTGTCATGCCATATTTATCTATTTATTTATTCATGGCTGATTTTGTGAATATCATAATTGTAGATTCATTATGATCTGTTTGAAGGTCAATTAGGGATATAGCATGTGTTTTCGACATTATGTATTTATGCAAATTCGATTATAAGTATTCATTATATTAAATTTATAGTCTCTTTGGGTGGCATATTTTTGTCTGTGTGATTCCACTCCATTTAGTATTTTTGGGCTATTTGATTATTTCGATAAGTCCATAAATTAATTGTTGTTGTTATAGCTTTCATATGTATGGGACATACATAGCTTATTTTAAGGTGAATTTAATTAGCAATAAAGAGTATAATATATTTTATGAATTGATTGAAATAATAATGTTGTCAAAGCAGCCTCTGCTGTGTAAATCGGTTTATTTTATATGTTAGAAGGTTGTGTATGTAGTTTATAAGGCTACTGATTGACCCAAAGGCAACTCAGTGATTAAGTAGTTGCATGCATGTTTAATGACATTGAATTGGTGATGATAATTTGGTTACTTGTGTGTGAGCAATAGATTTGTCCAAAGATGGAGTATTGTTTGACATACTACTTTATTGTCTACTTTCGATTGTCAAAACAAATTTATCACTGGCGAGTCAGTAATTTGTCCAAAGACAATTGCTGATGTTGCTCGATAACTTGTAATAAGATTGCTAATTTATTTTATAAATTCACATACGAAAGACTCAATAGCTTATAGACATGTGTACTTCAGATTATGTTCATGATGTTTGTGATTTGTTTTAAATTTTATTTAACTGGGGAATAGCCACAACATCCTTGATTAATTAAACATTTGTTCATGATTTATTTGAAATCACATTAATAGACATCGATTGTAATTATCACGCACAATGTATGAGATCTACCCACATGAGTCTTGTTACATTGTTACATTTATATGAGTAATTAGGATAAATTATCAAATTTTATTTCTTAATCTACCCACAAGAGTTAAGAAAAGGAACACAATTTGATAGTTTTATTATTAGGTTTTGTTTGAATCTAATTGAGTAAAACTTTAGCCCATAGGCAAGTCTTATGTCTTTAGATTCACGTTTTAACATGTTTACATTGGTAGAACATGTAATTTACTTGTCTTGTTTATTGATGAGCATGTATATTTAATTTTGGAGTGTTTAATCCTATGAATTTCTCTGACATTAAGTGTGATGTCCCCGAATTGACTGGTGATAATTACGAAATCTGGAAGGAAATGATCCTCCTTCATTTAGGCTGGATGGACATTGATTATCCCAGTCATTCAGTTCTCCACCATGAGATTCACGGGTGTGATGGGTGTGCGCAAGCATATAATGCGGATGCGGGACATTATCCTACAACACACATAAAGATAAATGGTCCATCAATAAATTGATAACCATGTGCGTTTAAGAGGATGAGAGACTATTGATTGAGGAATGTGAGAAAATTTAGTCTGTAAGTTTAATAAATCCATATATGGATTGAAACAAGCCTCCCGCCAATGGTATTTGAAATTTTATGATGTCATCTCTTCATTCGGCTTTGAAGAAAACGTCATGGATCACTGTATATACCAGAAGGTTAGTGGGAGTCGAATTTGCTTCCTTGTGTTGTGCGTGGATGATATTTTGTTTGCAACTAACGATAAAGGGATGCTATATGAGGTACATTTAAGGTACGAAGGATTTCATGTATAGACAAATTGATGTCTTGGAAGTGATTGGCTACTCCGATCTGGACTACGCTGACTGCATTGACACTCGGAAATCCACATCGGGTTATGTGTTCATGTTGGCTGGAGGAAGCTATCTCTTGGAGAAGTGCAAAGCAGTCTACCACTGCTACTTCCACTATGGAGGCTGAGTTTGTTTCATCTTTTGAGACTAGCTCGCATGGTGTATGGTTGGAGAGTTTCATATCCGAGCTTAGAGTCGTTGACTCTATTTCTAGACCGATCAAGTTGTACTGTGACAACTCTGTTGCGGTGTTTATGGCTAAAAGCAATAAGAGTGGGAGTCGAAGTAAACACATCGACATCAAGTATTTAACCTTAAGATAACGTGTCAAGGAAAATAAAGTGGTCATTGAACACGTTAGTACAGAGTTGATACTTGCTGATCCCTTGACTAAAGGCATGCCACTAAAGAATTTGAGGGATCAGGTAGCAAGTATGGGATTTGATTCTACAATGTAGTTTATTTGCGCACATTATTATTTGAGACTCTTATTCAGTTTGATATTTTCTCGCGTTATTGTGCACATATTTGTTTATTAATGAGAAAACTCGCTTAAGTTTAAACCCGGAATAAATATATGATTTATTCATTAAGTTGTGAATTAAGTTTGAGATGCTTGACATATCGTGATACATGGAAGGTAACGTTCGTTTATAGAAGACCTACCGCCATGATTCGTATGTAAAGTTTCTCGTTATGTTGTGATGGTTTGAGTGGGCCAACACTACAAAAAAATAATATATTTGTAACGGAATTCCGTCCCTAAAGTTCATGTAGCTAACGTAATTCCATTCCTACTTATGTCTCTAATGTCATTAGTAACGGATAAAGTAGATTTAGAGACAAAAAATTTTTGTTACAAAACTGATTTTTTCTTGTAGTGCAAGTGGGAGAATGTTAGTTAAATTAATTATTTAATCATATTTGAATTTTGATTATTTTTGAATGATCTTATATAATTAAACTAACCTTAAATTGTGGCCCATTTTTCTCCCATTAAGTCTATCACATTCAAAATATACGTGATAAGTAACAGAAAAATCGTGATGGATGATTTTTCTTTTTAATTATAAATACTCTCACATACGGGTTACTAAACCTACTCTCAGAAAATTAGAATACACCATCGCTATTTGAGAGTCAGGGTTTGGCAACGTCATCCTAGGGTTGCAATATCTTCCCAGGGTTCCAAAGTTTGACAACATCTTCATAAGGGTTCCAGGGTTTGGCAACACCATCTTCCCGCGGTTACTACCTACTGTCTGCTTGAAAAAGAAGATCTCAAAAACAGATTTAAATTTTAGCAATGCTGAAGGTTTGTTAATTATCATATTTGCTTCCGTTAATATTTAATTTAAAAATTATTTTCTTACACAGTCCGCTTACATTGACATTAAATTAAATAATTAAATATATCAGATGGAAACAAACAAATATCAATGAATCTGCAAATATATTTTCTTACACAGTCCGCTAATATTTGTCCGCTTACACACATGGATGACTGTCACATATCAATCCCACTCAAAC